TATCCTGAACGACATTTAGAAAAGCGGCATCCATTAGCATTTATGCCATTTGGTGTAGGTCCGAGAAATTGTGTCGGAATGAAGTTCGCTCTGATTGAAATGAAAATTGTTTTAACACGATTATTAAGACAATATACGATCCTTAAATGTGATAAACTCGAAAATTTTAAAATTATAGAAAAATCTGTAATTACACCCAATGAAGTTTGGATTAAATTAGAAAAACGATTTTGACAGAAAAAGAACATCATTTATTTCGTCGTTATTCAATTTCCTTTTGCTTTGGAGAATAAATAAAAAACAAATAATCGTCTTTGCCTCTTGAATTGTCAGACTAAAAAAGAAAATGGTTGGTTATTTCAAGCTTAAAAATAACTCGTAGAAAGGTGTGTATGCATCCGAATGCATCGATTAATAATCGAATATTAATATTTAACTTATAAATTCTACGCATAAGTTTACTAGAATAATTTTAATATCAAACATGTTACAAACAAGCAGATCAATGGGAACCTCGACTTCCAAATTCAATCTTCCTGCTGAATTAGTAGAGATACGCTGACTAACAGTACAGGAATTTCTCCAAAAAGACACCTAAAGGACACGTCAATCGATCCAGTTATGAGTGCTGATTCTAAATATGGCACTGCTTTTGAAAAAACGATGAAAGTTTGACGCCGAAAGCTGCAAAATACGGCTGCATTTCCTAGTTTTTTGTTACCTGTTTCAAAAAAATGAATTTTCTCAACAAGAAAACAATATTTTCCAAAACTGATGCTTAACTTTTTCCGCTTCCGTAGTAATACTGAATACAGTGTCGTAGAAAGGCGACCATTTAATTATTAGCATCACAAAGAATATTTGTTAATTTCTTTTTGCCTGATCATCTTTAATTTGCTTAACCGTTTTTCTTTGTAATTCTTCTTTATTCTTCTTCTTATTTTCATCTTACGTCATTGTTGCTGATAAAAAACACAAACAAAGAATACTGACCTTGTGTGTTCGTACTATCCTGAAGTTTATTGCTTTCGATATATTCTTTTCATATATTAAATCAGTAGCAATAACAAAATGTACAAAAGTTTACTTGTGAATTATATTCTCTTTATAACAGCAACGACATGTGATAAATATTATGCAATTAAACCGTACTCTGAGTATGTACCGAATGAGTTTTGCTTTCTATCTGGACAATTATCTTTATTTTAGTGCATCCGTATTTCCACATTATGGGAACATATCATTGTTTGATACGGAAACAAAATTCTTTTTACCAATAGCTAATTTTACATTTGATGTAAATGATACATCCGATCTGTATTATTTTGTCGCGGGTCCCGTAGCTGTTAACATCGATGATTCTATAATTTATATGCCAGTAGAATGTGCAACATCATTTCAAAGACTATTATTACTGTCATATAATATGAAAACGGGAAAATATTATCAGAGTAAATGGATATTATCCAGTGGTGTTTTTCATTTTCTTTTTTATGATCCGATTAGAAGACGTCTCTTTGGTTTACGTGATGTTAGTACATTCACATTTTATATGGAAGAATATGATTTAAAAACGTTGGATGTTGTGAAAGTTTATACACAGCAAGATGGTGAAAAATATGCATTTACATATGCGGAATGTTCATCATTTGATTATAATGAAAACTGGTGTAGTACAAGTCCGAACACGGTTTGAAGGTTCAACTATTAATGCTTATTGGATCAAAATGGATTTGAATTTAGTTGGTAAAAAAGAAGATATTGTTACCGAATTTCGTCTTATGCCTGATGTACATAATTTTGTTACAATGACATACGATATTGAAATTACGAAGCTTATTTTGTGTACATGGCAACATGGATCGATTGATCGTGATATAATTATGTTTCATTTAGATCCATCTACAGGTAAATTTCCCGTTGCAAATAAAACTCGAACATTATTGAAAACTGATCATAAATTAATTGATTATGCCCAAGCTGTATGGAATCCAGAACAGAGAGAAGTGTTGTTTATGATAACAGATGAAGATGATGACATAAATTATATGATCAGAGTAAACTTTGATACATTGGAAATATTGGAAAAAAAAGTAATTAATGAGAAACAAATACCAGCATTTGCCTGGTGGAAATATTTATATTTTTTGTGAGTGTATGTATCTTTATTGAAGGATCATACGAAAACTTCGTTGTTTTTCCTAGAGAAATGGAATTTTTAACACTTAGATATTCGGTTGTAGTTGCTAATGGCAGAACTTTCATAAGAAATGTTTTATTTAAATTTACATGTATATTAATAATTTATTTTGATTTAATTAATTTAATTCAACTAATATTTAAGTTTTCGAATCCTACAGGATTCATTATCAGAAAAACATCGTACAATCAACAAAATGTATATACGTTTCTACCAAATAACTGTTACTATTTGCACAGGTGTATATACTGAATATATTCGACTACTTCTATTCCACGTCAATGTGGAATTCTTATCATGTAAGAAGAGAAAAAGGAAAGAGAAGAAGAATCTAAAATACAACCGAACACAAAATGAAATAAAATGACGAAAACTTGACTCTTAGTCAAACAAGGTAAATTAAATCAGAATTGAAGTTTCGCGAAATCCTTCTAGTGGGTTTTTGAGGCCTGAAGTTCAGATGCTCAGCTAAAAACAGTTTCAAAAAGTTTATTTATTGTTTATGTTGATATTTAGAGTTGTATTATTATTACCTTTTATTTTAGAATAAATTTTAAGAATATTCAAAGAAATTACAGTAATAGTTAAATTTTTAATAATTAATGTTTCATTTTTGATTACCAATTATAATAGATTTGTATATTTAGGAGTAAGTTTAATTATGAAATAATGGTGTACTTATAACGTTAAAAAAGAATTGGTTTTAGATATTTTTTTAATAACTAGAGAACGAAAAAAGCTGTTTCTTCTACACTATATCATGCAGGTGAATAAAACTTTTAAAAATTGACCTGAAATATTTTGGTTTTGAAAAGGTCTTTTAGAAATCTTTCGATGTAAAAGAATATTTTTTTACTATTCGTAAGTGGGGGAGAGACTAGGATAGAATAGAAGAACAGCAAAGTACAAAACAAAACCACACAGATGTTGAAGTCAAACACTAAAACCTACGAATATTAAAGCATCAATTTTACACTTGTTGTAAATTATCCAAAAGTAAACTTGAGGTGTTCAGTTCCTCATCCTGTTTACTGCTATAGTATATTCTACACCTACTGCTCAACTCATACAGCTTTCGTTCTCTCCGAGGGCATCATCAGGCAATTGTTTATTTAAACTTCGTTATTATTTACTACAACTATAAGGCTTCGATTCATAGATCATTAGACTGAACTATGAAATCTCATTGAAAACAGTAATATGGTAACAATGAGGGAACAGTATTGGACTGGATAAAAAAAGAAACAGTAGAATTAAAGGTTGACTCATAATTTATGAATGAAGCCTTATAGTTGTAGTAACTAATAATGAAATTTAAATAAACAATTGCCTGATGCTGCTCTCGGCGAGAGCGACTTGAGCAGTATGGGATAGAAGACAATATAGCAGCAAATAGGATGAGGAATCAAACATCTCAAGTTTACTTTTGGATAATTTACTACAAGTATAAAATTGATGCTTTAAAATTCGTAGTTTTAGTGTTTGATTCCAGCATCTGTGTGTGCTGATGGATCGTAAGACGCAAGAAGTGTTATTTTTCTAGTATTTGTCTAAAGTATAGGTCGCTGATGACGATAAAAGTAAAGGAAAGAGACAACATGACGTGCGACGATAAGGAAGAAAATGTTTCTGAGACTTTTTCGACTGTTGGACTTTTAACGCTAATCATTAATTTGAGAAGTAAAATATCAAAAATGCGACTCCATTAGCCTCTAGTCACATGTGTTTTCGTCAACTTAAGACCAGTCCGAGTTCTCTACAATGTTGCGTTACTGAGAAATCTTGCAGCTACGAATATTCCAGAACGAATAGCCCCACATTCGAATCGAAATTGTTAGCAATCATTCTTTTTCTATTGAAAAACAATAATTGCATACTATGCACAATATCAGTTCGCTGCGAACTCAAATGTAGTAGTCACATTTTCAGTTCACACCGAATTATATTATATATATGTACCGGACACATGTACAAGGTTATTCGTGGCCGGCGGGAGGGGGGAGAAGTGAGATTTAGAGTGAGCTCGAAAAGTAATTGCACGATCGTAAATTCATAAGATACCTAAGATACTCTAAATACCCTAGAGACCTAACGAAACAAAAAAGTTCCAGAAAAATGAGTTCGCAGCGAACTGAGATTGTACACGACCTCAATAATTGTTAATAATCGTTCCCGAACTTTAATCAATTGTTAATTGTAAACAGTTACCTAAATTTCTTTAGCTTGTTCAACTTGTCAAGTTCTTGAGAAAATAAAATGTTAAAATTTCGTATTCAAACTTAAGTGAGATTAAAGAGAATGAAGTTATATAGCGTCTAAATACATACAGCGTTTACATCTCGACAAATCTGAGTTAGCTGTTGTATTGTCCAATATCAATCTGCTTAGATACATTACTTGTTTTGTGAAAAATATTTGGAGAAAAATGACTTTAAGATTTAAGATTTCAGTAATAACTGTGTATGTCTGACATACACTGGAAAAGTAATAATTGAAAAATTTTCAACATGTTGTAATCTGACGTTCTCTCTTACAGTTCGGAATCATTCCGTATTTATTTAGCAGTCTAAATTTTTACAAATATTTCTCATTAAAACAAAAAAAATTAATTTTGTTTTTCTTGATGAAAGACAAAATTCAGACTAAGAGTATGATGTATAGCGGTAAAAAGATTCTTCTGCTTGGTCGAGAAACCAGGTAGTTACCACTCTTATTCAGCTTCATACTAAACTCTTCGTGAACACTTTTTTAATCTTTTACTCGTCATGAATCAATAAAAAGAGCAGCCACCTTGGAAAATTTTCTTGTAAGAGCTGAATTGCACTCCTATAAGAAGGCATGTACTACAACTCGATACGATCACAAATGAAATTTGTCTTTTTTAGACAGATATTGAATGAATTTCTGTGATTAAGAAAAATTATTTTGTTCTTGATTAAAAACAGAAAGATAATAATGTTCAAAAAGTCTAATCTTCATCATCATCATCATTTGGTTGTGGTACTGGCATTAATTCATGTTCATGCCCTTTCTGTTGACATCCGGCACATAAATCATAATTACCACATGTTTTACAATAATAGCGTTCACCAACCAATGGTGACATTTGACATCCGTCACATGTAACTGATGGCCATACAAATTCATCTTTAGATAATTTTGGATATTCTACCTTTTTACCTTCACACCATGTTTCAATGGCTTCTAATTGTTTTTTGTCTATGTCTTTTCGACCTTGTGTTGTTAAAACTTGACCATTAGGTTTTAAAACGACTAATGACGGAATACCGTGAATGACAAAATAAGATTTGAGCTGAATTTTAACTTGATCATTGTTGTAGGGTATAGCTTTCCATGGCATTTCTTTATAATAATCATCAAATGATTGCTGATCACGATCACTTGAAACAAATATAATATCAAACGGCAATTTTTTCTCATTGACAGCTTTGAGATACAACTCCGCTAAAAGGGGTGTAAAATCACGACAAGGTGGGCACCAATGAGCAGAAAAATACAAGGCAATATATTTTTGATTTGTTTCATCTAATTTAACTTGTTTATCTTGATCAAGTAACATACAGTTTTTTCCGAACAAATCTTCAAATGTACATTGTTGTTTAGGAATTAAATATTCCATTAGATTATGTTCATGTTTTACTGTTTGGTTTTGATAACATTTTTCACATAACTCATAATTACATTCACGTTTGGGACAACCATATCGATTTCCAACAATTGATTTCACATAGCACTGGTTACATTTAATGTAAGACCAAACATATGTATTTTTCGGATAATCTTTAATATCAGCTTCCCATAACAATGTTTTACCTTCTAGCCATTTATTAATGGCTATGAGACCATCGGTAACAATTTCATCATCGCCATCCGTTGTTAATATTTCGCCATCTGGCTTCAGGATAACCAACGCTGGAATACCTTGAATTTCATATAATTCATTCAATTTATCAGCCCGTTCATGTTCTGTAAAAAAAGGATTGTTAAATTATTGAGAGTGAAATAGTAGTTTCGTTCAGAGAATGATTCTACATTTTATTTTGTCTTGCGACTGTCTTCTGGCGATCTAGCCTGATCTAAATTTAAACCTTCTTTTATCGGCCAGGTCATAGGAAAGCACCTCAAAAAAGTTTGTATTCAATAGGTGGTGCCAACTACGAATATGATAATTGATGCGATTACTGAGTTTTTGAAGAATGATGATTCTACAGTGGGCAATTTCGGCTTATGGGGTAAACACCTCTTGCATTCCCATTATTGCGACTCGTAAGCCAAACGAACGGCTAAATACGACAAAAAAGCTTTTTTCTCGGAAAATCACCTAAGGATCTTATGGCTAAAGAATTTTGAAGAAAACGTTTTGTCCGCAAAACAATACTGTCATTTATCCTTCGGTGAAGGTTTTCGCGCTGCTTCCAATGTGCGTTTATTTTTTCTTGAAAGTGTTTCTGGCTGGTCTAAGAAAAACTGATTTTCTTAGAAAACCTCAGGATTTTTTCAAAATTCCAAGTAGAATCCAGAAACCTTCACGCTAAGTTATCTAACTGGGTGAATGTAGCGTATTTAGAAGAATATTCTGCCAAAATTTGAGTCAGTTTAAGCGAGTCAGTTGTTAATAAAAGCTGATCATTTCAGACAATTAGATAAAGAAGACGCCATTTTCTTTTTATAAATTCTGCTCGTTGTATGACTATTTTTTTCTTCACAAAAATTTTTCGAAGTAACGCAAGAATTTCATGATTTTTGACGCATAAAGTATTATTATCCGTAATTACAATAATAAAGCCCTATACAGTGTTTCTTAGACAATCATTGAGTAGATTCATCGAACCTGCCTGCAGACAAGCACCGTAGTTCGCTCCCAGGTCTGCTTCCCGCAAACCCGTCTCCTTCAAGCTAGGATGAGTCCACTTAGAAAAAATGTCGAAGTATATTTTCAGTTGGAAAAGAACCATTTATGTAAATATACGAATTTGCAAATTTTTTATTAGTGGGTTTTGGGCGTAGTCACACTAGAAAAGAAATTTTCTGAAGCCAAAGATATAATGCATGCGGTAACCTTTTTAGCTGCAATTGCAAGAAAATTTCGATCTTTTTGTCTACTTTGAAAGTAATCCGGCTTACTTTTTTATTTTGCTCATTCTCGTTTGAATCTCTGTAAAGCAAGAATAGAAAAATGTTTATAACTGAGCAGTCGAAGGCTACATTCTAAAATTATATGATAAAACTCAGTCAGTTTAGCTGTTGTCTTTTTTTACGTTACCTTCGAATGGTAATGCTTTCCATGGCATATCCTTGTAATAATCATTAAATGCATTCTGATCATGATCACCGGAAATAAATATAATATCAAATGGAATGTCAGGATTTGTCGATTTCACATTCTTATATACTTCAGCTAATTTTGGTGTAAATTGTCGACATGGACCACACCAGTGTGCTCTGGAAAACAACAAAAGTCGTTCCTTTCAAAATAAAAACTACAACAAGATTTAAATTACGAAAAATATAAGCCAATTGTTTTATTATTTAATTCACAAGTATCTATTGTTGATTGACAATTTAGTAATTTTTCACCTAAATATTCACCACCTAATTTTGTTGTCATGATTGCTGTCCGTTCGTGTGTATTGTACAAAATATTTTGTTCTTTTTAGTGTTATATATATCTAAGACGTCGATTGCTCACTCTTACGGTCTTATGTGAAAATACAGTTAAATCATCTGAAGAAAGGAGAAAAGAAATACATCGACGTAATAGTAAATGATGAGGTTCTTCCTTTAGTGCAAAAAAGAGAAAAAACAGTATTTTTTTTCGTTCTTTATAAATCAATATTATTATTATTCGTGTTGGGGATACACACATACGTATATTGTACAGGCTTTTAAGTAAAATATTCTATTATCTTGATCGACTGATTTGTTCACTGTCTTTATTTTCATAGATGTCAATTCAAAGATTGCAATACAGAACTATGCAGACTATAAGAACTTTCCAGTACCGACCAACACCCAAAAAACTATTCAAAACTACGCAGACCTATTCATAGTATACATTGAGCGAGCCATGAAATATCACTGTTCTCATTCACTGTTCTCGACAGCTCTTAGTCGCATAGTTCTGAATAGTTCTCAATGTATACTATGAATAGTTCTGAATGGTTATCATGGTGGTAGCCTGTGGGGAAAGTTCTCATAGTCTGCATAGTTCTGTTCTGCAGTCTTTGAATTGACATCACTCTTTATTTTAAAACGCATCTTGACAACTGAGATGACGCGTCAGTAGTCCAAGTTATTATCTCTTCCACTATGCGTGGATCTGGCAAAGAAACAACCATTATCAATTAAAAAGATGTTTGTAAAAACGTTTCCCACAAATCCCGACCATCTAATCATTGCAGAGTTGGAACCGGGCCGGTGCCGGTCCAGTCCGGTGTAAAAGTTTAGACCGGCCGGTCTCCACTGATCTTTTGCCGGTCTAGAAATATTTTCAAACCGGCCGGTGATCGACCGGTTTTAAATTCTTAGCATTTTTCTCTTCTTCGTTCAAGAAAACTGACATGTTCTTCAGACATTAAATTTAAGACAAATGCAGATATTGTTGTAAACTGGAATTAGGACAGTGCAGAAAAGTGATAACTTCAAATAAACAAGTAACAGCAATATGAAAAAGCTAGTGAAAATGACTTTTTCATTAAAAATATTTTGATTTACTGATAAAAGCGTCTAAACCGCCCAGTTTTTTGCCGGTTTTTCACCGTTCTCGAAATTTGTTGAAAACCGGCCGGTCTTTTTGCCGTTTTTCACCGGTCTAAAAAGATTTTTGGGCCGGCCGGTCCGGTCCGGTCTGCTGTTTTGAACCGGCCGGCCCGGCCTCTTATTTTTAGACCGGTTCCAACTCTGAATCATCGATTATCCTTCTCGGCTGCTCTCCTGTCACTGTATCCATGAAAAAAAAAATTGAAAAACTATCTTATACTGTGATTGATCCTTCGAGTGCAGACAGTATTGTTCAATAGCAGCCAAAGAAAGCCAGGAGAAGCAGCCAAATAAAGCGTCTCGTAAAATAAAAGAATAGTTCAAACATCGGTTTTTTACTGCAATCAGTTTTAATCAATAAAAACATTAGGCACTGGCTAATAAACGAATATACATAGCTATGCTTTCAGAGCATTTTACTTTTATTCTGACAATCATCTATTTTATTTTCTTCTTCCAGCTAGAATAGGCAGCCATTGTTGCTGTTAATTCGGAGTGTTGCTGAGACGAATTCCTGCGTTGGACGCAATTTCACTGTTAGAAATACTACCAACAGGAATAATATTCTAGATTAGCTCATGTGTATTTTAGTTAGGCTCAACTGCACAATTTTTATCAAAATGACTAGGTGGCGCCATCGATCGATGTCATCATATACATTATTCATCAATAGTTGCTAAAAAATAGGAAAGATAATGCATTTTTGACAGAAATGTTTCTAAATAAGTTGCAACACGCGTCAAAAACGTCTTTTGCGGTGGTTCGTGGTTAATTACTGAACATCAAGCAATGCTGAATAGATTTTATGGTATGTCTGCTCAACGATGTGACCTGGTGAAGCGTCCATTTTTGATATGATGAACACTCTGATTGTAACGCATGCAATAAGTCCTCAATTCAGTATATACTTGAAGCGTATCATATTACTGGATGTGTTTGAACCAGAAGAAAAATTAATAGTTTTCTGAAAACCTTGGAGGGAACTTCAGGCCTCGAAAAGCCATCCATTTCGCGAAACTAAGTGTTTGGAAATGTTCCTGGTCATCCTCTGACATGATTCAAGTACAAAAAACTCAAAACGTTTTTGAGCTGGGAAAGGGCCTTACCCATTATCGTCCTTTGAAAGAAAATATCACATTAATATAGTTGTCGTTCCTCTCTTTTGAGCCTATAGCCAGACGAGAAAGAGTCTTCAGAAAAAACATAAAGAGACACTTATCAGTGCGTACCATTCATCTGTAGTGCATTTGAGCGGATTACCAAAGATTCTCTTATAATTAATCAATATGGTCTATGGTCTGTTGCCAGTATTCCAACATTATCAAATGTTACAAAATGGCAACGCACGTTTACTAAGATTTACATTTAAAATCGCTATTATCGGAATTGTTTAAAATCGATGATTGTAAACCTTCAATTTTATTAACCATACCAAATGGAAATAGAAATTTTTATTTAAGTCGATTACAACCACCATTCTTTCCATTGATGATTACATTATTTGATTTCTTAAAAGATGTAAGTATTTAGTAAAATACTTAGCGGAATTAGAACAAGAATATTTATTTCTCACTGGAAATCCGTTTAAAACATGTATTACTTGATTCTTCTAGCACAGATTAGTGGTTTGTAGTTATCAAGTTTAGAATATCTGAAACTTAACCATTGTAAACACAATCGCAGCAAAAATTATTTGTACCATCTTGTTTTAATCATAACTCGGTAACGAAAAAAGCATTTGACTAGCGGTTTGCCCCAAAATATTCTCCGTTCTCTCTAGTATACTTGAAGATAAGAAACGCACTGTCCGAGTTCCATAAATTCCGGAATTTTATTCTTACTACGAGCATTTTTTTGTAATCGTGAGAATTTTCCCTTGACTAAAAACCAAATATAGTACACAAATCACAAGACGAAAGACTTCTCGAAATTCCGGAATTTTGCGTCCCTCCACAAGAATTTCACTTCTTTTCATGAGAATTTAAGTCTACTGCACGAGAAGTTCAGTTATGAAAGAAGCAAGATCAGTAACCAAAAAGATAATTTTAATCTCTCACACGAGAATTCACCTTCTGCGAGCGGAACTGAGAATATCCCTAATACATTTACATTCTTCACAGAATCTTACTTTTCCACACGAATTTTGAGAATACGTCTAACAGACTAAAATTGTCGCGGTAATTCTCAAAATTCCTGTGGAAAAGTACAACTCTCGCGAAGAGTGTACTAGGGATGTTCTCAGTTCCTCTCACCCAAATAGAATTATCGTGGAAGGGACTAAAATTATCGTGCACAAAATAGTATATGTATCGTCGTGGCTAGTGGTCCAGTGTGGACCACAGGATCGTCATCGTTGAACAAAGAAGAGTAGAACTTTGGTTTCAGCAAATTCGACACAGTTTTTTCTGAGAGCATTTCTAAGGTCTGCCGAGTGGCTAGAAATGTTGTCCTGGTCATTCTGCATCTAAGCATGTATGTGTCGATGGAATTCAAGGAGAGGCCGATTCCATCAAATAAATCAAAAGTAAATCAAATAAATTAAAAACTGCATGTTCCTGATCTGCTTGAAAAGCTCTGTCGAATCCTATATAATAAGTTCAAAAAAACTTCCACTTGAATTTTGAATTATCTGCATCTAAGTAATATTTTGGTTTTCTTACATGCGTAGACAACCCCGAGTATCCAATTCAAAGTGGAATTTCAAAACTTCAGAATGTAGACTATTTAAGCTATTCTATATCCTATCTATACGAGATCTCGAAAGAAATCTTTCAAAACCCTCAGGTTTTCCAAAAGGGTTTCTGTAAAACCGATTAACAAAAATGTGCTTTTCGATTGTTTCGATCTTATAATCAGGTTTAGCGGGCAACATTAATCATATCCGGAGATTTTGAGCATGTTCGGATGTTCTTTAAGTGAATAGTGAATTTTTTAATATTAGGTGAAAACAGCCTGAAAACCCTAATTTTCATAAAACCGACTTTACGCTAGATTTTTAAAAATTTTTCTAAAAATAAATATTGCCACAAAACTCAGCATGGTCCGTACCACTGTTAAGTAAAAGAAAAAGAAAGAGAAAGAAGAACTAGAACATAAATAGTCTACTCTGTGTGTGTGTCAAATTTCAAACTATACTTTATTCTGTACAATTTTCTTCCGATGAAGAAGGATAGCATGAATTTCGCCGTCGTACACTTTGGAAGTAGACTTTCGGGAATTGCCGAAAGTTGTGTTCTAATTGGGAGGAATTTGTAATCCAAGGCGTTTACCATAAGTCTGACTGCATGACCCAAAATAGGGTATTCGAAATACTACGTTTTCAGTTGTACGTGGATCAGTAGAGTTATCAGACACCGTTTTCTTGTTATAAATTCTGTCCAATTGTTTACCACTAATAGAATCGACAAAAGAAAGCGGGTAACCGTTCTTCTTAGCTAGATTTCTGATAAGATCGAATTCTTTATGGAGAGAGACGAACGATGAACAAATTTTTCCAGGACGAAAGACCATAGTTGTAATAGTATTATGTGTGTATCTTTTTACAACGAAACTGTTCCACTTTGTTAAGAGCCCTGAAAATGTCAATTTTCTGTACTCAGTGTCAAAATGGTTTACATTTAGTTATATACACATATAAAAGTTGTATTTTGGACTTTTCTCTTTTTCGTTCTGTGTTATTACACAAAGAAGAAGAAAAAGTTGTAGTTTGTAATTCTTGTACAATTAGTTTGTTATGTTTTGAAAATGACCATTATCACAACAAAGATAGATTAAATTTCATCATCGTATAAAATGAAATTTATTACATTAGAAAATATCGTTTATTAACGTTTTCGTTAATAATATTTT